GAGAGAATACTATTTTTAAGTTTTTATTTAGCATAAATTATAGTCGAATTATTATTAAATTGTTGACTTCGAGTCTTCTTATTTTCAACTCGTTCAATCGCTACTCATGACAACACCTTATCTGTCACATTTTTGGGAAGTATGTGACGATTAGAACAAAGTTTTGTCCTGAACTGGCTAAACTACTGAGTTCTGATTCTCTCACTAGTTGTGAATTTATGAAAAATCAATTAGGTGTGGAATCAGGTGTTTTAATTATGATGGTCAAGCCGGCTATTGCTACCTTATCTTATGTTTTTATTTTTTAATTTGTTATCGGTTTTTTTAAAATATAGGTAATAATTATTAAATAATAAAAATAACAACTTGTCTTTTATTTAAAGCACTTATTAATAATGCATTATTAATATATTATTGTTATTATTATTCCTAAATTATAGTTTAATATAATAATTATAAATAAACACCAACAAATAAAAAAAGCAAAATTAAATTAATAATTATTTACTATAGGTATATTTATTCATATTTCGAATAATTTTTCGATTCTCTCAATAAATAATAATAGTTGATTATTCTTATCATACGAGCAGACGATTTTAACTTCGAGTGATTTTTCGAGAGATTCACTCGATTATGAAAATGTCTCGATTACTAATCATTCGATTATCGAAATCATTCGATTATGCCCATCACTAGTGTTGACCGTATAACGATAATTGCGGCTATTAATATCAACGAGCTGAGCAGTTATTATTAAATATTTAATATTTCTTGAGAGCATATATAGCGCTATCTCTACAGGTATAATTTAACAAAAAATCGGTAACCAATTGTTTGATTGCCATGGCTTATCTATTTGTATTTAATCTATGGTATAACTGTGCACGATTCAAAAAGAAAAATGATAAGGGTACAAGTATTATCACTTATCATTTAACCTCATGCTAAAAATATAATCACATGCTTTACTATCTAGTTTAAATTATAGTTGACTATCTGAAATAGTAGTTAGAAATATAATGAATATTTAAAAAACTAGGTATTATACTATTTTCTATTCGTATTCTCGATAACTTAATGTAAAAATGATATAATTTAAATAAATTGAAGAAAATTTTTTATGTAAAAGTTCTGTTAACAACAAATGGTTTATTTGATTTAATAAATATGAATAGATTATTTAGACTGAGATCTCAAATGACTGATAATTGCTCCAGAGTAGTTTTTTCCAAAATTACTAATTGTTTTTGTAAGTTTTTTTTAAGAGGTTGTTATGAGTCAAGAATGATAGATTGTATTAATATGTAAACTAATTAATTTCAGATTGTGTCTGTAATGTTAAATTGCATCTTCGTTTTCGTTCTACCATTCCAGAGAATATACAAATTAAAAATATGACAAAATCTAAACAGTTGAAAAAAAACTTAAAAAAATATACTGAAGTTTTACAAGGTTTATTTATTTAAATAAATTTGAAAAACAATTTTTTAAACATATAAAAGTCCAATTAATATTTTAAAACAAATTTTTATAAAATATTTATCTTACAATTTATATATAATTTTTGAAATTATGTTTTCTAACTTAATTTAATAATACTGATAAAAATATTTTTATTAAATAAAAATTAAACTACTATAACAATAATTTATCATTAAAAATGTTAGAATTGTATGATATTTATTTTGTATAAATTTTAGTTAGCAATGGTAACACTAGTCAGTCAAAAGTGAAAATAAAGCATCTCAAACCAAATCAAGTACATAGAATGGTTGCTTGTAAAAAAACATTAGCAATGTTTCCTAAAACAACTAAAAATGTATTGAAATCTGATAAAACATTGTTAAAAACTAGTTCCTACAAAAATAAATCTCTTTTAAAAGAAGAATTATTAGAAGACATTGATGAACTTAGTGAAGATCAAAGAAAACTACTTAATGATTCAGAATTGTTACAAACTATTACCCTTACTGAGAATGATATAGACAATAAATTTGAGAATTTAAAAGATAATAATGATGTTTCAAGTACATGTGATATCAATAATTTTAGTCATTCTAACAAAAAGTATGTTTATTTTATATAAAACAATTAATACATTTTTAATATTTCTATTTTACAACAAATATAGAATTTCAAAAAAAGAACGTGATCTGAGTATAGCTAAAAACAAAGAAGATTTAAAAGAATTTTTAAATAAATTAAATTTAAAAGGCCGTGAGAAAAGTCTCAATCAAACTTTGCTTGCATATGTTGATTTATGTGTAAGTTGAATTATTTTACTAATCTAATTAAATTTATCTTAAAAAAATCTCAGACAAATAATGGTCTACAAATTCTATTAACTATTTGTATTACTTACTGTATTTGTATTAAAAATTCTAATTTTTCAGGTATGCTGTGGGTTTTTGAATCGAGGAGTTGCAGCTTTAAGTCATTATTGTAATAAAAATATTTCAAAAAAAGTATCATTAAAAATAACTGATGCACGTATTTTCAATTGCTTAATGCATGGTTTTGCTGATCAGGTGAGAAACATGAACATTTTGCTACAAAAGTTTAATTAATTTAGTATAAAATTCCAATAAATAATATAAATCAAATATTATGTTATTTTGCCATTAGGGAAACTATGAAAGAGTAAGAGATATTTGGAAATTATTAGATTTATCTAAAACTGAGCCTAACATCCAAAGTTATGCAGCATGCTTTCAATGTTTAATGAATGATAAAAATTATAATGAAAATAAATTAAAAGAATTATCTCAAGTCTTTTTGTCTCAGGTATGTTTAATTTAATAAAAAATCATAATTTATTGATTAAATATTATATTTTTAGGGGCACTCTTTTAACGACTTATTTAATAAGTGTATCTTTGTTGGTAACCAAAGAGAATTAGTTTTAAAAGCTATTAGAATACTTGATCCTTCATTTAATCCTAAAATTAGTATTGATAAAATTGACTATTCTTGTTCACTTTTAAACCATATGAATAATAAAGAAGTAATTATTATTGATCATAGTTCAAATATATAAGAATACATTTTTGTTTAGTATAAAGTAATTAAACTTCAATTTTTAGTCTTCTTTTAAATGTCCAGCTAAAGGTCTTTTTAGCGAAAAAGAATTGATTCTACTTGGCCATAAACAGTTGGAAATGGAAATGGCATCTGTTGTAAGTGTAAAATCTGTAGAAAATAATTCACCACCATCTAAAAAAGTTATTAATTATGTAAGTATTTGAATTTTATATTTATTATAGAATCTTTAATCTCCAATTTAGTAATCCAATAATTAAATTTCAGAGAAAAAAATTAACTAGTTTACAAGATAAATGGAAAGATACTATAAGAAATGCCATAACTAGAGAGTTAGAAAGTATTCGAGCTCAACACAACTGTCTGAAAACATATAGGAATGTTAATATTTATCCTTACTTGAGAGTTTTAAATACGGAGCAATATGTTGACATTATAATCCACGAAATTCGTAAATTAGCTGTTGGATCAGAGACATTTAGTCCGACTGTTAATATGCTCTATCGTCAATTAGCAAATCAAGTTAGATTAAGGTAATAATAGTATTAATTTCTAGCTTCAATGCAAAACTCAGCATGTATTGGTAATTCCATGATGTGTATTCATTTTTTATGTCTGTCCATATAAATTCTCAGTTCTCTATATGTCAAAGAACCCAAATTTCATTTAGTTGAAGATATTATCAAAATTTGAAAAAAAATCTTCAATTTTTAATATTTAAAAAAATATTTCAACATTTTACTTTTGTAGTACAATATGGCATTTTCAAAAACAAAAAAAATTCTGTATTTTAAAATTATTATAGCTTTTCAAAAAAAAACTGATAGTAATATATTTTTAATACAGTATACTAAAGACAATAAAATTTCTTTTAGTATGCTTTTTGTTAAAATCCGATAAAAAACTTGATGCAGTAAGAATTGAAATAAAACACTCATGTATCTAAATTTTTCTTTTTTCCTTGATTTTTGAAATTGTTTTAGATTGTCTGTATTTATTAGATCTATACTAAATTAAAGCTCTTAGAACCTAATTAATGATAAAAAAAAAGAGTCCCATGACCTTCTTTCTAAGAAAGAAATCCTAATACTGTTAAAGCAAAAAAAAAAAAAAAATGCAATTTTGCAAAAAAATACCATTGTTTTAAATTTCTGAAAATATTTTTAGATAACTGAATTCTTCAAAACTATACCAAATAAAAACTTTTTAAATATAGTTAACAATGAAAAAAAATTAACGTACTAATATTATTTTTTAAATTTGTTAGTTTTCTTACAAATTTACAATGGTTATTTATTAAATTTTAAAAATATACTAGAAACAATAAGCTTATAAAATTAAAGCTTTCTAAGAGTTAAGGAAACCTTTTGCTACATACAGGATGTTTCAGACCTAATTGATATTAGGTATATAACTTTTGATACAATTATTATTTTGATTAAAAAAATTTTTTTAAATAATTTTTGTTTTTTTAAAGTATGTTAAAAACATTTCTTTTTATTTGTCAAAAAAACAAAAAAATATTTATTTAATTATAAATTTTTAAAATGTCATTTTAGTACAAGTACTTATCAAGTTACAAGAATATTAATATATAGAATGTATTGTGTAAAATTTACAAAATAATTTTTTTTTCTTTTAAGTTCTATGTCTAACTTAATATAAATAAATAATATTTACATCCCAATTTATTATTATAGTTATTAATTTTATTTTTTATATAAAGTAAGTTATTTTATTTATATATATATATATATATATATATATAATAATTACAATAATGAAAAATTATGTAATTATATTATATTCAATATTATATACAAATAATGTTGTAAAAATATATAAGTTTATTTACATTAATTTATTAGATATGAAATTAAGTACAAGCAGAATGCAATGATCTTAGAAAAAATTAAAGTAGTTTATGGTGAATATTGCTCATGGTATATTAATGGTAACACTAAAAATAGCCAAAACACTAGACAGCAATGGCAAAAGCTAGTGCACAAATACAAATTAGTGGGTTCTGATATTGTAAGTAACAATAAATATTTATTGTTTTAATTAAATTAATAAAATGTGTTACATGATCTTTTCATGTAATCAATATTTTTTATTTTTAATATTCAATCAGCTACGTAAAATATTTTCAAATTTTCATCATTTTTTGCTTTATTGATTATTAAAATTTCAAAGCAGAAAAAAGTAATCATTTGTAAGTGAATAAAATGAATTTTATACAAGTTTTCTATTAGCATTTTAATCACTTAATGTGAATTGGTAAATTTGTAGTTAATTATCTTATAATTTGGTTTAATATCAAGTAAAATATAAAATAAAATAAGATACTTTTAATGGTATAATAATCTAAAAAAAATAACAAATACATCTGTAACGAAAAGTTACTATTTTTAAAAATGATATTTTTATGTTATTAACTGAAAATCTTAATATTTTATATATTAAATAATATTTAGTAAATATTATTGAAATAAGAATAAATAAATTCAAAAAATATCCGGTAGCTTTAAAAAGCTTTTTTTTTAAGTTTATCAATCAAATCATGTCAATCGTACGCTATCCGTCTACAGTAACTTTTTGTCAAATTATATCTAATAATACCCAAGATAGGGTGGTAAATGACCAATTAACTTGGAAAATTGGAACCATTAATTGCATGACACTACTCAATATTTATTTTTGATATGTGATGTACAATATATAGTAATTGTATAAAAATTTTTCTTTTTCTATATTAGATAAAATAAAGTCTATTTTTATTATTATTAAAAAGTTTTATAACAAATAAATAAATACAACACTGAGATAATATGTATTGTGATCGTGGTTCAAAATGAATGTATTTATGTTAATGCATGTATTTTTAATGAGTACTTGAGTACATTCAATTTTTACAGTATAAATGATGTATGTAAATGAATTCATTTTTTAAGAATGAAAATACAAATTGAATATAAAAATACATTCATCAACTAATTATATAAAAATAAAACTTCTTTGTGTTCCCCTCCAATCAATACATTCTTATTTCTGTATGATTTTTATTATATATTGTTCCATCTGATTCACTGCTGTAATAAAAAACCACATAATTTGTATCATTGTGGTAAGATATTACAATTGCTTTTTTTCCTTTTAAAAATATTTTTTTCGTCATTTATAATGTATTACAAATTTGAATACATTATAAAATTTAAATAATAATAAAAAGAGTTAATTCTATTATGAGTTAAGTTATGTGACATTTAGTATAAATTATTTAAAAATTTACTAATATTCAATAAATATTACGTAATATTACTACTTTGTGTCTTTTATAGAAAATAAAATAATATTTAAAAAAATTTCTTATAAATACTTTAAATTTAAATAATAATATTAGCTTCAAGTGATCAATTGTTATTATAAAATACTTTAATGTGACTTACGTACGAATAGAAAAATGTTTAATATCATATTAGCGTTATCAGCATGAGTTGGATATCCTCTTACCTACTATTTAATTTGGCTCTAACACATTGTATAACTATTTTTTTCAGGAATTAGATGATAAAACATGGCCTTCTACAGTACTTAGTAGTGTTGGAAAATTTTTGTACAAAATTATCATCAAAGATATAAAAATTGATGTCAATATTATGAAAGATAATAATGGAGAAGAGTAATATATTATGTCTTACAATAAGATTTAAGTACAAATATAAACCATTTTTTCTAAAATAAATATTAAATTTCAGGCATTTATTACCAGCATTTTATACAGTGTTTCGAGGACAAGGACAACAAATTAAGCAAGAAATTAAACCTCATCCTGTTCTATCTAAATTGTATAAGTTGTCAGAACCTGATGACTTAATTTTTGATGTTACAATGATTCCTATGTTGAGTCCACCAATTCCTTGGTCATCAATTTATTCTGGAGGCTATATAGCAGCTAAAGCTGATCTAATTAGGTAAGTGAAAAAAAAATAATCTTAATTTAATATTAAAAAAAAAAGGATAAAATCAAGCATATAACATTATTACAACATTTTTTTGTTAGGTTACCCCAACAAGCAATTTTACAGTGGCATAGATTAGAACAAACTCCTAAACAACAATTATATCCAGCATTAGATGCTCTCAATCAATTAGCCTCTATACCATGGACCATTAATAAACCAGTATTATTACTTATTTATATTTATTAATATTTTTATTGTATAAAAAATATCATTAAAGGTTCTAGATGTTGTTATCCAAGTATTTCGCTCTGGAGGTTCAACAAAATTAAATATACCAATGCCCTCATCTGCTTGTTTGTCTCCACAAACAATCTTGCCTTCAATGAGTAAAGAAGAAAGATCTTTGATCCATAGAGAACGTAACATTCTTAAAAGGCAGAAAGCTGAAATGTACAGTTTATGGTGTGATGCATTGTATCGACTATCATTAGCAAATCATGTATGTAATAAACAAAAATAATATTATTTATTTAAAAAAATAGTTTTTACTTGATATTCAATTTTTTATAGTTTAGTGATAAAGTATTTTGGTTACCTCACAATATGGATTTTCGTGGTCGAGTTTATCCATGTCCACCTCATTTAAATCATCTTGGCTCTGATATGGCTAGATCATTATTGTGTTTTGCTAAAGGTGAACCTTTAGGACAAAATGGACTTGACTGGCTTAAAGTAAAACATAATACTTTTTATTTTTATATGTTATAATAATATACAATATAATTATTATTAATTAGATGATGATTGCTATCAATTATTACTTATGTAATTCAAATAATTATATTTTATTAATATAGTGTTCAATTTTTATGGAGTATACAAGAATATGATTACATACTTTTAAAATTATTTTATATAATTATTAATATATTGTTGATTATTAAAGTTGAATAATTATACTTTAGATACATTGTGTAAATTTAACTGGTTTAAAAAAACGAAATTCGATAAAAGAACGTCTTGAGTATGCTGAAGAAATACTTCCCTCTATTATAGATTCTGCCAAAAATCCTTTAGGGGTAAATTTCCTTGTTATAAAATTTACCTTTAATTAATTTATTTTTTTTTATATTCTATGATGTATTGTTATATAAAGGATAACAAATGGTGGACTGAATCAGAAAATCCTTGGCAAACACTAGCATGCTGTATAGAAATATATCATGCATTACAATCAAATGACCCTAAAAAATTTGTTTCACATTTTCCTGTGCACCAGGATGGTTCATGCAATGGTTTACAACATTATGCAGCTCTTGGTAAAGACTTTACTGGAGCTGTAAGTGTAAATTTAACACCTGCGAAAATTCCCCAAGATGTTTATAGCTGTGTTGCAGCAATAGTATGTACAACCTCTTTTTAATTGGCTCGGTTGGTTGTTTATTATTTTTATGATTTGTATTTATTGTTATAATAATATATATAAAGGTTGAACGTGAACGATCTAATGATGCTAAAAATGGACATATAATAGCCAAATATTTAGATGGATTTGTTAGACGAAAAGTTATCAAACAAACTGTGATGACAACTGTTTATGGTGTTACAAGATTTGGAGCTCGCTTGCAAATTGCTAAACAGCTTAAAGGTTAATTCTAATCAATATATTTTTTGTCAACTAAATACTCTAAGTTATAATATTTTAATTAGATATAGAATCATTTCCAAAAGATAAAATTTGGTCAGCATCTACCTATTTGGTAGCAAAAACATTTGAAAGTCTTAGGGAAATGTTCACATCTACTAAAGAAATACAAGTAAATCTTTTATAAAATTATTTATTAATATTATATAATTTTATTATTTATAATTTATGTTTTCGTGGGACATTTTAAAAATTTTGTTTTTCTTATTTGGTGTTAAAAATTATCAAATAAAATTTTTCTAAAGGATTTTTACTACTTTAAATTAGTTAGTTATATTTATTAGTTTTATTCTTGTTAAAAATATAATAAACTTGTAAAGGACTACAAGTGATCACTTACTTTTTGTAATTTTTTTACCTTAAAAATACAATTTTATACCCTAGAGATAAACTATCAATAGTTTGTTTTTTATTTCTATAAACTTTCAATCAACATGCACTTAAAAAAAGGTGTATTTTCGTCTTATGAAAATATTAATAATAAAAAAATTAATATGTTTTTAGGACTGGTTTACAGAATGTGCTCGAATAATATCACAGTCATGTGGTAAAAGTGTTGAATGGGTTACTCCATTAGGATTGCCTGTAGTCCAGCCATATAATCGTAAAGCCAAACATTATGATTACACTAAAACTTCTGGTTTTAAAATGAGTGAACATTTTGTTTTAGATATGTATGAGTAAGTTCTAGTTATGTCAATATTTATAATTAATGATAAAATTTAATGATACATGGATAAAAAGTCTAAATTATAGTGTATGGTATATCTGTATGGTAAAATAATATTATTATACAGTTTATGTTTAATTTATTTAAATTAAAAAATACTAATAACTAATTTTTAAAATAAAAATCATAAGTTTAATTATATCTGAAAAGGTTTTATTATTTATTATATTTAATTTGATACTAAGGAAATTATAACAATTTTTAGTATTATAATAGACTCTATTTATATCAAATCTCAATACAAACAGAAAAATCGTTGAAAAAAAAATGTTGAGATTTTAATTTTTATTATTATATAAAACTAATAGTGTAATAGTAAAATTTTAGATAAAATCTAGACGATTTTAATTTAGTGTTTGATAAGAAAAAATTTGATGTTAGAAGAATCTACTGTATTTACTAATATTAAAATTAAATAGAGTAATGATAGTATATAAATTAACATCATAAATATGTTTTTTAAAAACTACTCTCAAAAACTTTGCTTGACTTATAATATTAATCCTTAAATTATATTATTTATACTAGTGAATAAATTCATTAGTTTCCTGTTGCAACTATGTTTTTGTATTGCTAATGATTTAAATAATTAATAAATTTTTAAAAGCTTAATGCTTATAAATAATATTTCCTTATTTTTATAGTCGACCAAATGTAATGAAACAAAAAAATGCTTTTCCTCCAAATTTTATTCATTCTTTGGATTCAAGTCATATGATGCTGACATCTCTGCATTGTGAAAGAGCTGGCATCACTTTTGTATCAGTACATGACTGTTTTTGGACTCATCCCAATACTGTTGACATTATGGGAAAAGTAATTAAATTGAACTTTATTAAATAGTTCATAGTTAAAATAAGTTAAAGCAAATACAGAATATAGTGTAAAGAAGAGTAAGAATATACACTTTTTTATTTGAATGGTCATAAAATATTTTTCATATATTAACCTGTTAATGGCATATTTATGGGGTGGTTCATGGGGTTGCAGATCTCCCAAGGACATAAAATCATTTTAGCTGGGGATAAGTAGTGGGAATGAAGTAGATGAAGTAGTGGGACCTTCCAACTACTTTACTTTCTATATGCTACTTGGACAAATTTTCTAAATAAAAGTATCATGAGTATCATATTTTAGATTCCAGTTTACATTGAGTTTTAAACTGCAGGATTAAGAGTTTGTAGAAAATTTGATTTAATAACAATTTATTTAGTTTATTACTTAACTTTTACAGACTGGGAAGGATTTTGCTCTGTTACTAAATTTAAAGATAAATTATTTATTTTAGCTTAGATGAAAAGCTAAGAAGGTATTCATTTTACTATGATGTGTTTTTTTTTTGTGTCTGTTACCACTTATTCCCAGCTCTCACCAAACCGATTTCTTTCAAAGATACGTCAAAAGATCACAAATCGTATCTAGTCGAAGACATTACCCTCAAAAATTGAAAAAATTTCCCTCGTTCCCCATAAATGGGGGAAATCTCCAAAAAAATTACAAATTTAAAAATCGCTAATTTTCAAAATTTTTCAATTTTTTTTATTTAAAACTGCCACAACTTTTTCAAAATTGAACAAATCAATATAATTTTTTTTTAATAGATGCATAATGCCCTTACCTATCACTTAAAATATTTTTTTTATAAATTTGACCCTTTACCTGCCTTGGGAATTAAAAATGACAACTTTTTCACAAAAAATTAACTTTTTAAAATGTTCTGAAAATACTGATACTTTTATATATACCTTAAATTAAAACTTAAGTAATATACTTTATTTTGAAAAAAAAAAATTTTGGACTTTATTTTGTCTTCACGGTGAAAATGGCTACCGTATGCTATTTTTGTGTTAAAATTCTCGATTTTATATTTTACATTTTTAACCTTAAAATGCTACAACTTTTTGAAAAATGTATAGATAAATACAATTTTTTTATGAAAAATAATACTTATATATCTCTTTTATTCGACTTACTTTTTNCTTAAAATGCTATAACTTTTTGAAAAATGTATAGATAAATACAATTTTTTTATGAAAAATAATACTTATATATCTCTTTTATTCGACTTACTTTTTTTTTAAATCGGACCATTTCCTTTAATACAGAGGGTATCAAAATTTAAAAATGCATATAGAAAGTAAAACTTTTTCAACTTAATTTTGGATAGTGTACCGGAAATACTGACACTTTTATATATATCTTAAATTAAAGTTTATGTAATATACTTTATTATGGAAAAAAAAAATTTCGAACTTGGTGACTTTATAGTGAAAACAGGCATTAAAAACCCAGCACAGGGGAGTCGCGGCACAGTGGTGACGTGGCATAGTTGGATCAAGTATTATGATATCTGACAGTGATTAAAATCACTATCAAAAAATACGCTTCGATGCAAATCTTTAGATAGTTTTTAATTTTAAAAAATTGGTGGATTATTCCAAAAGCAACATGATTTGCTAGTTCGTTATTAATATCCTGATTCAGATAAAGTATATCGAATGAAAAAGGGATTATTAAAAATTATTATTTCTCATAAAAAAATTATGTTGATCCATACACTTTCAATAAGTTATAGCATTATAAAGTTAAAAATAAAAAAATAAAATCGAGAATATTCACACAAAAATAGCATTCGATAGCCAATTTCACCGTGAAGATAAAATAAAGTCCGAAATTTTTTTTTTGCATAATAAAATAAATTACATTAGATTTAATTTAAGATATATATAAAAGTGTCAGACTTTCCGGAACACTTTCAAAATTTAAGTAGAAAAAGTAAATTTTTTGTGAAAAAGTTGTCATTTTAAATCCCCCCCTGTAAGCAGGTAAAAAGTCAGATTTATAAAAAAAATATACCAAATGATAGGTAAAGACATCATGCATCTATAAAAAAAAGAATTATATTGATCCATACATCTTTCAAAAAATTATAGCATCATAAAGTTAAAAATATAAAAAAGGATTTTTTTACAAAAATTGTATTTTTTTTATTAAGTTTGATGTCTGTTTTCACCATGAAGATAAAATAAAGTCCGAAATTTTTTTTTTGCATTATAAAGTATATTACATTAGCTTTAATATAAGATATATATAAAAGTGTCAGACTTTCTGGAACACTTTCAAAAGTTAAGTTGAAAAAGTTCTACTTTCTACGTGCATTTTTTAGATTTAAATCCTCTTGTATATAGGGAAATGGTCCGATTTAAAAAAACAGTATGTCAAATGAAAGATATATATAAATACTACTCCCCGTGAAAAAATTGTACTGATCCATACATTTTTCAAAAAGTTATAGCATAATAAATTTAAAAATGTAAAATACAAAATCGAAAATTATCACACAAATATAGCATTCGGTAGCCATTTTCACCGTGAAGATAAAATAAAGTCTTTTTTTTTAAAAAAGAAAATAAATTAACAAATTTTCTTAGTTATATTAAATAAAAAAAAAGTAAGAATCAATAAAATAATAATTGTTTATCACAATAATATTTTTTCTAATTTGAATATTTTTAATTCAAAATTTCTCGACTACACCTGGGATACAGCTGGCGATATTGTTGAACCACCTAAAATAGTCCAAAATAAAGATTATAATACAAATATAGTAATTTAAAATTAAAAATTTTGCAGTATTATTATATAATTTCATACCTGTAATATTATTAAAAATTGCTTTTGATATTCATCCCTTGTAAATTTGTCGTTGAATTCTGTCGTTTACCATTTTTATCGAGGATAATATTTCTTTGGCTTTATTGTATTCATTATTTATTTCCCATGTGGTAGGATCTTCATATAAAAACTTGAATTTTAATTTAAATCGCTCGAATAATTTCCATGAATTGTTGCTGAGCAACGAAAAAGGAAAATCTTTTTCTAGAAAATCTGATAAATTTTCATATTTTTAAATTAATTTTTTATTTGAATCTTCATTTTCTTCTGGCTCTTCATTTGTGCTCTGTTCATAACCTTTTAATATTTTTTTTACCATTCGCTGTTTAGTATTAATGTCAAGTCGATCGTAAAATAAAGAAAACACAGCACACTCATCATTTAAATACCATAAATGGTTTATAAATTTTTTTATAGCTACTTCTCCTAGTTTATTATTACTGTAATTTAATAACTTTTTTAATAACATTAAATCATTTATAGGAGCTGTTATAATATTCGCAGCTGAAAACCACATTTTAATATAACATTCAACTAAAAAAAAACATATATCTTCTAGTGCATTTACTTTTTTTGAAGGCCCAGGTAATTGACTCATTTCTTCAACGTTTTCCTCCATATCAATATCTTCCTCCTCCGAGCTAAAGCTGCTATAATATTGAGCTTCGGCTAAATAATAAAATACTTCGGTATATAAAAACTGCTTACTTATAATGTACTGAAATTATTGTGTAATATTTAATAATTACCTGTACAATTTGCGATTTCTAACTTCTCTTTTTTCTTTCGATCATCTTTTTCTTCTTGTTGAGTAATTTTACGTTTTTCAATACCTGTTAACTTCATATCAATACCAAGCATGCACCCTGGGCGGCCTTTTTTAAGTTGTGACAATAAAAACTGTTTGTCTTCTTTAATACTCATCATATTCAGAGCTTTGATATGAGAAATGTCAAAGAGGTTGTCTAATTCTTCAGAAAAAATATTATAATGTTGTTCTTGTGTTTCTGTTTTTCTAGATTTATTTTTGTCCAACTTTCTCCATTTCTCATACAATTTTTTTAATTTAATAACACAGCCTGAAGANTTTTTCTAGATTTATTTTTGTCCAACTTTCTCCATTTCTCATACAATTTTTTTAATTTAATAACAGTCTGAAGAATACTGTGTAGGAATACGTGCTTTTCTCCAAAATATTAAACACTCATCTATTACAATTATTATTTTATTGTGTTTCTTATTTATTTTTTATTTAATATAACTAAGAAAATTTGTTAATTTATTAACAAAAAAACATACATGCAAAAAAAAATTTAAAAAAAAAAACACGGTTTCGTAGTTGTTTTAAATTGTATTTGGAAAGGATTCATAATTCGAAAAAAACTCAAATAACCTTTTTTATAGAAAATATCACGGTGATTAATATTACTTTTGTGCAATTTCTGCGTACAATTAAAATTTAAGACACTGGAAAACTGTCATTTTTAAAAAAAAATTAAGTGAAACTGATTTTTCTTATTTTTACGGAAAAATATTCATTTTACAAAAAAATAATATATTACCTTATTTTTTGTTCACATTGAGTTCTATAAAAATTGTTCTTTGTGTTTTTGGCGAAACTTCAAAAATAAAGAGCTTACACTCAAAAAAAGAAAATCCACCCCATTTTTTAAGAACTTCAACCCTTTTGAGGCACGTGAAGGGGTTGACTTATTATACTCAAATTTTACCAGTTTCATTTTTTCAATGAATCTAACGAAATTTTGAGCCCATGACTCTAAATTTATGAAGTTGAAAAATAAGGACCTCCCTAATATATATATATTTATTTATTCATAAATTATACTTCTAAATCATGAAACTTATAATCAGAATATAAATAATGAAATAGAAAATCATGTAGCTTTTGGAATAATCCATTAAATTTTTTAAATTAAACACTATCTATAGATTCGCATTGAAGTGTTTTTTATGATAGTGATTTTAATCACTGTCAGATATCATCTATACTGGACTCAACTATGCCACGACACCACTGTGCCGTCACCCCTTGGGTTGGATTTTTCATGAATAATATTATGCATATTTTTGACAAAAATTGATACTATGTTATCCTTGCTGAAAAAGTCCTGAACTATTGAGCATTAATAGACATTCATAGCTATCTAATTACTGCGAAAAAAGTTAAAATTGAAACTAGAATTATCATAAATTTTATTTTCGGAAGGATTCATATAATAGTGGGGATTGTCAATCACTAATGATGGGTGTGTGATATCACCCTATAATCAAGAAAAATAAACTTTGGATACTTTTAATAGCATGCCATTGGAAAATACTATATTAAAAAAGTAATTTTTATAATTATGGTTTTGTTTGTATTAAAATAATAGTTTGATTTAACTGTCTCAACAAGTAAAAAGTACTGATTACTATAAGGGTCTGCTAAGTAAAAACCATTATCATTACACCATTTAGTATTGACTATATTGTGTTAGCTGTAATTAAAAACAAATTAATCTGTCAATGAACCTGATATATTATAACTAAAATTATAATTATTGTTTTAGAACATCACAGAAATTGCAAATACACTCAATATTTAATGTTTTTTTATATTATTAATTAAAATATGTATTAAAAAAAAATAGATTAACTATTACTAAAAAATGGTTAAAGTTACAAAATAGAGTTTATCATACAGATTGTTTTTGTCATAACATATTTCCATTCCTTCATTAAATCTTACTATAATTTACTTAGATTTGCAGGGAACAATTTGTAGCTCTGCATAATGAACCTATTTTGGAAAATTTATCCCAATTTATGATAGAAAAGTATGAACTTCCTCATATGTAAGTTAATATAAAATATTTGTGTTAGTATTACCAAAGAATTATATAAATTTATAGTATAATAATTTTATTTTTCAGTCATGAACCTAATGATACACAAGAACTGCTATATACTTTTAAACGGTTACCAAAAAAAGGAAATTTCAATCTTAACAGTGTATTAGATTCAACTTATTTTTTTAGTTAAAAAGTTTTTGTTGTTGTATTGTTATTTTTTTCTAGTCTGTTTTAAAAATATATTTAAACCTATGATTCATCATTTTTATTTAAACCATAGTGAAGACTTTTTTTTTACTTATAGAAAAAGTAATTTTTGAGTATTATGGTGGATTGTTTTAGATAAGGAACTGTACCAATATAAATAAATCTAAAACCCTAGTTCAACATGTTATTTATTCATTTCATTCTTATAGCTAAAGTTAAGACTATTAGCCTTATAATTATTACATGTATGTAATCCTTCCAAATCCTATAAGAACATGATTTTTTTACTGTGTTTTGGCTATAATTTTAGTTTTGATTTTAATGCAATGAATAAATTTAACAAAAAAAATCCGAAATTGTTTTGTTTGTGAAACTGATTAAAAATAAATAAAGTTAAATGTGGGAATTGTAAAAAAATTGTATTAAATGTGTTTGGCCGCTGATCAAACGCAGCGCCACTGGCGCACCACCTGTTAACCCGATCTAAATAGTCGCGCGTGTTGTGTACGGCGAGCCAGTCTGGCGCTTATGCTAAAGCGGTCCTATGATAGGTGATAGTGTGTCTCGGTTTTGAGAGCCCCTGTCTTAAGCCAGTGATCGCAGTTTTTGTTATAAATAGAAATTTTTGGGTGTCCTTCAGCGATCAACTTCAGGAGGACATCTCCTTTCTGTTGTAAGGACGGAAGACAAAAGACTGTAGCCAGGTTGCACATAAACCACACAATATTGCTTGTATATTAACATTTGTTATATTAATTATAGTTAAGATTATGATTAATTATAAATAAATGTACGTTTGTTTTTATTTTCTTACTAGAATAATATTGTTACTAATTGTCTTATTTGAATTAAGTTAATAGGTCGTGTCCATAACAGGGGAAAATACTGGATGCCCCGACCAAGAGGTGTTTCTAGTCGGTGGCATAACAGTTTGCATTTAATTTTATTGAATATTGAACAGATTTTATTTTAGATTGAAAATTTTTAGTCATGTGTTACCAACATATTAAATATAAGCTTAAATTAAAAATTTATGCATTTATTTGAAAAATAAAAAAATTTATATATTCTTTATTTGCAAAACGACGTGTAGAATATTTACAATAAATTTTTTATAGTCAAGTGAATGGACATAGCTTGAGTTAATAGCAAGCGAGGAAGCCTCCTATTGTGGTAACATCCCGGTAAAAAATAAAAATATATATTGACAATTACCCCACTAACCCTAGTTGTCAAAAAAGCGTTTCCTTATTATCGATAAAAACAAAATGAAAGGTTTGATCATATTTTTAACAATTTTTTCTCGTTGTTTTTAACGCTAACACTCGATTTCTTTTTAAGATAATAATTTATATATTCAAAGTTATTAAGAAAAGTGAACAAACGTCTCTTATAATAAATAACTATTCAATTATTATTTTAAGAGAAATTGAGTGAATAATTATTAATTAAGAGAGACAAAAAACAATTTTTTCCAAAATTGATTTATTTATGTTACGTGTATTTTAACAATATAATAAGCATAAATGCAATATAAAAAGGAATTTTTTACAAAGAACGACGTATTAATATTATAAAGTTATTAATATAACATAATTATTGACACTTATTGTGTGGGATTACAAATTATCATTGTTTTAATAACATAATCCATATAATATCAGAAAACTAGGTCCTGTAAGCTACTTTAAAAATAGAAAAGTTATAAGGAGGTTGTCTAATAACTTAGAGTTAAGTTTCGTTTTTTCTTGTTGGAGTTTGTTAACAATTTTCAGACATCTCACTCCTCTCAGTAAAAATGGGAATAATCAAGTTAAAAAGACAACTAATCTCGTTTTATTTGTATATAAAACTTTTGAACTTGATCTCAATAATAAATGAAATATATTTATTCGTACTAATAGAGGCATATTAATATAAAAACGTCCGTTTTTTGGTCATTATCATAAAGGTCGGATAATAGACCCTAAACATTGAATATGATAAAATTTATTTGAATTGTTTCGGTGTAGAACTTTAGATCAATTATTTACGAGAAAACTCGTACGGACTTGAACGGTAAAATCGTTTTGTAAGTAAAATGTTTACATGACTTATCCTTTGTAACATATTATTATTATATTGTATCGTTTTCGCAAATTCAATAGACAGATGCAGACCTTTATTAAATTAAACACTATTATTATTCGGATCGGGGAGAAAAAAAAATAACAGCAAAAACGATTTGATCTCACACTTGTAACAATATACAAATGAGCGAGTGCATTACCTTTTGGGCTGTTGCGTTCCGCTCTGGGTGCTGTAACACAGTTCTACTGTAACTGTTTAAAGCCGAATTCGTCTACAATAATCGGATTGGCTCTTGGCGCACACTCGCACACATATACGCAAAACGGCAAACAATAAAAGTGACAAATTTATGAGTTGCTCGGAATCCTTTCCGCACGGCGGCAACGATCAACTCCATGGAAACTTCTTTCTTTGTCTCCTCACATTTCTGGCCAATAAATTACACCGCTCTTTTTCTCTGTTCTCCATCTCCCCACCAGGGTGTAATCAAAACGATACGCACCGTCTCTGCCTGCCTGACCGCGAGTATAGGGTTTCTGCACGACACAATTTTCTGGTAATTATCATATTGGATTGGCCGGTATTCACTGTGCGTAACTTGCCCTGGAGCCCAGTGACCTCGTAATTCATAAATTTACGATCCAGCCATCATACGCTACCAACTCCGAGATTTATGTCCATCGACAACGAGTCGCGACGTTTTTTCTCATCGTGAGCATCTACACTCAGTCATCGTTACCCCAGGCGAGTGGCGGCGGATGCTCTTTCTCATTTGTACGTAGAATAAATAAAATAATGTAACACAAACGGCATAACGACTTCCGATTGATTATTGTTGTTATCTGCTAACAATTTTGCCAAAAAGGTACGGTGAACTGGTACGTGGGACCTAATGTTTTTGCATCTTACGTGATGGCATAAATCATTTTCAGTGTTGCACTTCTTTTATGAGCAGTATGAAATCCTAACGACCATCGATGTCACTACAAATATCACTTAGTCTATACATTTTGTTGAATGATGTACTTGGTACAAATCAAATGTGCGAGGAATACGTCGGTAGCCTAAAATACTTTAAAATTTGTGTTTAAATATCTCGTTTAAGATCGGATAGAGTTATATGAGATTGCACGTTAAGAATTTAGTATTATGACTTCCTATAAAATAGATATCCATAAAAGCTTTATTGAAAATGCATACAGATAGAATTGAGTTTTAATGGTCATGTGTCCAGATATTATTATTTATATAATTTATACTTCCCGAGCTAATTTTCATTACCAATTATAATAATAATATAAATTTGATAAAATTTCATTTTCATTATTGTTTCCACGCGAGAAATGATTTTAACCTCCAAAGTGCCTAAGCGAATAATACATAAATTCTATTACATAAATTAACGACCGTTAACTTAAGTCATATCGGACAAAAGTATAATGTAATTAATAACAGCGTAACGTAAAGTGAATTGCAAATATGTCACACAATATGATCGATATGAAATTAAATTTTATTGTACCCAAATCCTAACCCCTTGTACGTGTTTTAGTTTATTGATATTTATATACATTTTTAATAAAGGGAAAATAATATTCAGATGTTTATAAATCAAAATTATCGCACTGCCGGAATCGTAAAAGATATTCGGAGCTCACTCACTTTTATTATTATAGCCAAGCTTTTTTGCCCGTTCTCTAATTTCATTGTTAATTTTTTTACGTAGGGCTCATACTTTGTAGCGAACAGAATTTGATTAAAACAATAAATTAACCATTGAAAAATAATAATACATTATTCTTTTCGTTTCCATGTGTAACATCAGAAACGTTTAAACGCGTACCTTCTCCTAAACAAATGTGTTAACGGATTTAATAATTTATATGAAATTATTATCAGAGCAACGATTTTTATCAATTTATCATATTTAGCGCGTGAAACTTAACTTTGTGTTCAAACTTTCAGAAATGATTCAATGTGGCCATTGTTAATGTTTCCGTAGTAATATACTGTTGTTTACTGATAACGCATTTGATTATACGTACAAAAAATGTCTAGTTCTGATTTGCTGTATAACGTGGATTCGGCATTTGAATCAAGTTTACAAAGCAATCCTTTGCCCAACACACTGGAAATGAAATCAAAATCAGGACCCCTTGATGGATTCCGCAACTACAAGCCGTTCGAAATACGTGATGGTGTTCGTAAGTCGTAAGCGTTCGATTTCAATAATTATCAGTATGGGTGTTTAGATAAAAAATACTTTATATCCTTAAATATGTTACCGACGAGTAAAGACTAATTTTTGAATTTTCGACACTATATTTTAAAAATACAACTTCCTTAAAGAACTTAATGCGTATACTAATGTGCCATGAAAATGTAATATATTAGATTATAACATATAAAACTTAATTTATTAAGTTTTAATTGTCAGGTATTGGACGTCTGTGGCTGAGATTATACGACCATCAATGGGGCTTGGACTACTTTGTTTACCTTATGCCTTTCAAAAGTTGGGTCTGATCAATGCAATTGTACTCTGTCTACTTTTTGGAATCGTACTTCAATATTCATACGGTCTTTTGGTAAAATACTTCAGGTTTATTAGTCGGTAAACAATATCAAACTATATTTACATATTATACAATTTACGATCACTGAACAGATATAGAAAGACAACGACATTCTTCTCCGACCATGACCATTTGATTTAATTGGCTTAAAATAATCTCGAAAGAGACACTATCGTATTACTTTATATGTCTTTAGTCAAAGTCAAAAGTATGAAGCCAATTGATATTGCTTGTTAAATATATACAGCGCATCAATAGCATAGCTTTGCAGTGGGGGCTAAATAATAAAAAAATCTACAAAATTACATATTTTCGACCTTTTTGTTTTTGCTTATCACATTTTAGAGATGAATATTGCAGTCAAAGGAGGCACAGGCTATTTTTGGCTTCCTTGGCTATGCCGCTACAGTGCATTAAAAAATTAATTCTGCTTTATCAAATATTGTATGTATATCCTTTATTCAAAAATATTAGTTAGCATTTGAGATTTTTATACTTAAATTTAATAACTATAAATATATTAATAATGACTGATAATTATTAAATCAATTCAATTGAATTATTAATTTCAATAATGAAAATTGAATTTCAATTTCTATTTCCATTTTTGATATATTTAAAGCTGTGCGAAAATTATTTTTTCACATTTTTAAAAATTGTAATTAATGAAAACTATATTTATCGAAGTGTCGTGCGAGATATAGAATGTGTCAAGTAAATAGAGTGCCTTACTTATGTTTCCATGATTTAGTTGAGTATGGCATTAATTTAGGCCCAGAATACGTATATGGATTTAGTAACATTTTCAGGTACTATAAATAATTTATCAAGTTATAAATGTGCCATATGTTAATTATAACCATGTTCTTATTTCTAGACGAATATCTGTAATAATGTTTTTCACTTTCAATCTTGGGAAAAGTTGTCTCTATACTAAATACGTTTGGATAGTTTTACAAAACGTAAGCGCGACTTAATATAATTTTACATAAATTAATTGGACATTATAAAGTTAAAAAGAATAGTATATTTTATATTATTGTTAGTAAATCTATATGTCTAAATAATAAAACCATCGAAATTTCTCTTTAATTTTCTCATGTTTTTGGTTTACCACTCCTTGAAAATATGCGCCGTGTGCCTTTAATGATAGTTCAAATTTTGAAATAATGTTTACTTAAGTCCAATTTTGATTTTTTAAGCACTTAGTCGATACTGAAGTGGAAGCATGTATCATTTATATGATATTTTGTTTTTTATTCGTGGCAATTCCAACGGCCAATTATATGCCTTTCATCCGAAGATTCATTGAATTTATGTGTGTATTTTTAATGGCAACATATGTAGTATACATATTGTTATTTTTTAAAGCGGATGTAGATGAAGCAACATTAGTTAACGGGGATTGGGTAGACATTTTTCAAGGCCTAGGTGTAATATTGTTCGCGTATACATCATTGCCTAAAGTAAGTTTAAATAAAAAATTAAAATCCAATAAAAACATTTAAAAAAATGCTTTTATTGACTTTAAATTTTTAATTGTTCCAAGCTACATTTAAACAAAATTTTAATTTTTTAAACGATGTTTAGATTTTGAAAGCTGAAGATGAACTTAAAACCCCAGAGCTGTTCTCTAATCCCAAAGTTTTCAGCGTATTAAAAGTTTCCATATTCTCAATTACTAATATATTTATTGTAATTGGTACGTGTGGTTATTTGGCTTTTTTCAAAACGTCAAAGCTCAGTTTTTGTCTGTTGACCGCTTTACCGGAACATGAGTATTTGATATTTTTTTTTATTTGAATATGTCAAACAAGTGTCTTCTTTTTTTAATTAAGCAACTTAGTAAGATAGCAGTACCTTTATAAAACGGGAAATCAAATGATTACAGGTTCCTCAAGTACTTCATGGGCATGTACTCATTATACATAGCTTGTATGCATCAAGATGTCTTACAGGAATCTATTTTATTGTTTTGGACACCACCTCCGAAATGTAAAAGAAATATGGCAGATGAACTTTATTGGCTTTTTAAATTTCACGTGGGAATGATCTGCGTGTCTGGTTAGTTGTATACATGTCATTGATGATCGTGTAATTTTTTTAAACAAATTCAATTTGGGGGCGTCATTTCAATCGTTTTTTATTGTTACGTAAAGATATCGTATAGACCACAAGTGATTGGGTGAGGTGATGCAAAGGGTTCTTGCAAAACAAATTATTTAACGTACCAAAAAATGTTTAAACAGAAGTTTATAAAGTTTTTTGCGATCATTTTTGGTTAATTTTTAGTACGCAAGTGTACAACTTGTGTACCACAAATGACGACCCTGTCTAAAAAATCTTCATGCAACGTCATATAACTACGTTAGTATGACGTCTATAGTAAAGATGTCAATGGTGTAAACACGACCTAGTCTTCAAAGTGTAGTTAACATGATCGTTAACTAACCACAAATGCGTAGGAAAACCTCCTCTTTCTGTAAAATCTTATTGACTTAAAAGTTATTGTAACGTTACTATTACGATAACAATATATTTCAAAGAATAAATATAAACTAACATGACTTCTAAAAAGATGAAAATCAAACATGTTTTGTGGTTTTTAGCTTTTTACAATAATATCTGTTTTAAAAAATGATATTCTTCTTATGTTACGCTCAACAGTATTAGGTTCTTGGTTAATGGACAAATGTCTGGGACAGATGATGGCATTGTTAGGTTGCATGAGTATTTGGAACTTTATGGTTTTTCCATATTTGGTCGAATTTTGCATAGTACACGGGATTGACGGAATAGCCACAAAAAAAATTATAATTTTCAAAGATGTACTTATGATGGTCTTGGGAGTTTCAATTTTTGGTGCTGGAATGGTAGCCGCTATAATTAACTTTAGTTATTGTGAATAATGTTACTAGTATAACTGTTAACATAATATTTAGTTATTGAATTATATATATATATTGTACAATTATATTATAACTAGGTTTATTCATATTTTAAAATTATTTAATGAATATTTGAATTTGTAGGAGTATATATTATGTATATGTTCAATACAATTCTTTGATAATTATGTTAAACGAGTCTTTATTTTTAATATAATACATGTAAAATCTAGTAAAATATAGTGATGTAGTCCAGGTGCTTGCTTGACCATTTTATTTTACCTGGAACAACTCTTATGATTTTTGTTCACAAAAACATTAATGATCTTTTTTGTTAAAACTGGAGGAACTTAACCTAAAGGGCCCAGTGAAATTTTTTCTTTGTCCCGGTGACCTGTTGTTACCTTTTCATTTGATTTGTTTGATTAATTGTATACTTTAGTTCATATATTTACGGACTGTCTAGTTACACATGTTTTATAAACACATTCCTTTATTTCCTGTTAATTATTAACACGTACAACTCGAATACTAAACTGTTTTTAACGTTATAAAAAATACCAACAATTTATACTACATGGTAAAATCATATTAAATTGATTGATTTTTGTAAATTATTTTTCGGTATTAGTTATTTTTTGGGAAGGGCTATTAATTAACTGTTATATTTCGAATGAAGTGAAATTGGAATTTAAATGGAAAAGTTAATTTATTTTAATTACATGGAAAATTGAAGCTTTTAAATATAACTACATTTAGGCTTCACATTTAGACAAGTATGACTATAAAAAAAAAAACATTTTATTAAAAATCATAATTTTTGAGCGCATTCATTTAATCATACAAATGCATTAAGTGAAACAATTGTACATATTTAATCGCAGTCGTTAAAAAAGATATAGCTCAAAGATATAATTAGTAAATGAATTTTACAGTCCTGAAGTTGTTGTTAGGTCCAAAGGAAGATTGCTCCTTGGCCTACGGCCCATTGATCAAAGAAATTGTGACAGTCCTATTCGCTCCAAAAAATGTTTGCATAGCTTGAAAAAAAATTAAATATATTTATAACACTCTGTAATTATAATTTTCTACTATATTTAAGAATCTATTTTTTAATTTGTAATTTAATATGAAATTTTAGAAACACAAATTCATTATATGTTATGCATATTTATTTGTTAAAAATTGTCGGGCCGATTACGCATTTCAAAACGGCCCAGAAGGCATTTGCCCTCGCAAACAGTTCGTTCCCGTTTAGACCAATGAACTGTCAAAATCTACCCACGAGTTGTTGTTTGGAAATATAATCGAGTAGGAATAATTTTCCACAATATCATGTACTAATTTTGCTAGGAATTCTTAAAATGTAATTGTAAATAAATTTCATGGAATGGAATGGCAAAAATAGTCATTTGCCAACTGCTCAATAAATACTTTTTCTCTGATTAACTGGCGTCTTCTTGAGAATATTATAATAAATATGATAAAATTACAATAATTCAAGGTTACATAAAAATTTGTTTGTTAATAAAAAAACGATGGCATTCGTCGGAGAGAGGTTTTTATTTTTTCTCGTCCATATACGTTTATTTATGATATCTCACTGTCATTTCGTTTCTTGTTAAACACCATTTTTTATTCGTGTATAATGAAAGTTTATTCATTGGATTCCGAATTTACTTCGGTTTTACTGCCCGTCTTCTATTCCGTTGACTCGGTTTGCACTTAGTCCGGCCGAACATAACAATGCCACAGTCACTCCTCCGCCGTCTCCCAACAACCTATTAGGTCATATTATTATATGTGGCGGATCTACGAATTATGGCAAGTGGGTATATCACACGCTGTTTGTTCGTTTTTTTTTTTCACACAAAAGAATACTCTCTAGAAATGAGTCTTCCTCTTCTACTCCACACTTCCTGCACAATGGTGATTCCGATACCCCCATTGCGTTAAGATGTTTAAGTAGGNCACACAAAAGAATACTCTCTAGCTGTATTTTTTGAACCAAATAATCATCTTCTAAATTGTCTAGATTTTGGACTCACATTTTATCAAATAAAATAAAGACTCTGAAAAATTTCGACGCTTCTTTTCTCATTTTTAGTAAGTGTATTGGTTATTTAATGACGTTGTGATTGCAACCAAAGTATCATTTAGTTGGTATTATTTATTAAGCTATAATAATTATGTTGTATCATTTTAGGGTAAAAAGAATTAATTGATAGCACTACTTGAGACAGGGCCGTATTTAAGATTTTAGCGTTAAGGAGTTAAAATCATGAAATCTACATAAAATTTGGGGCCTCTATTTTTTTCCTATTTTGTCCTTTACAGCAAGTCGTGAATTATCTTATAGACATTTAATTATAGTTTAGTCACTGGTTCAAAATCATTCTAATGACGTTTACCTGTCTTACTATATATATATTATAATAATTTTCATAAAACTCTTATTCAACATAATAGAGATGAATTAATAATAAAAGAGTGGATTTAAAATAAAAAAAACTATCTTTTAATTTGTCTCATCTTCTTTCTTGTCCCCAATTATACAGGTATTGAATAACATCAATTTCAAGAAATGATGAATCCCAATCATGCACATTAAAATTCATTACTTGTGATATGTATCTCTACCTAAAAAACTAAAATTTAAGTTTTAAATATTAATTCAAATTAATAAACCATATTCACTGTAATACTTGTAGTATAATTATTAACACATGTACTAGTTTTAGTTTTAGTTATTATCGAGGTGGACATAATGTCCATGCACTCAGACCTGTTGGTCCATTATGCGCATCTCATACCGAATTGTCTTGATCCTAAGTATTATCACCAAAGTATTAATACATTACCAACCATAAAGTCACCTCTAAAGATGACCAAAGAGTCTTGTCTTTCTGGCGAAATTAAGTATCTCTCTGGGTTTTAGATTTTTAATATCTTCTTTTTCAGGAAAAGGTTTATTCAAGTAGTTTGATCTTAGTGTAGACAAGGCTTCACATTCGCACATAATGTGAAATGAGTCTTCCTCTTCTACTCCACACTTCCTGCACAATGGTGATTCCGATACCCCCATTGCGTTAAGATGTTTAAGTAGGTGACCATGTCCTGTCAGTAGACCAGTCAGGGTGCTTATTTGATGTCTAGTCATGCTATTAAGATCACCCAACAGTAAACCAGGGGTCTTGATAAACATTTTAGATTGTCTAGGTACTACCAAGTACTTCCAGATTTTTCTGTGTTGTCCTCTGCACCAATTCTTTGATAGCGCTTTGAGCGATTGCTCAGTGAGTCCTACTACTGGTTCTGGTCCAACATAGGTGTTCTCTGCTCGTTTCCTGGCTAGAAAGTCATCATTCTCATTTCCAGTGACACAGTTGTGTCCCGGTATCCACGCTAGTGTATCTTTGTTGAGCCTCGATAGTGATTCTAAAGTTTCCCTGCATTCGAGGACCAGCTTTGAATTAACCTGATTGTTACAGAGTGTCTTCAAAGCCGCTTGACTATCACTTAAGATAGTTATCTTCCTATTTTTGTATACCAGCAGGTCCTGAGCCCCTACCAGTATCGCCATCACCTCTGCTTGGAAAACAGAGGGTGTTGTACCCAATGACATACTGACATTTATTCGTGGCTTTAAACCCCAAATTCCAGCACCTACCTTTCCTGATTTTTTGGATCCATCTGTATATATCACAAATCCTTCTTTTTCAGTTAGGTGGTTAATATTCCATTCTCTACGTGTAGTGATCTCCACTTTGTAGGGAATGTTATTCTTAAGAACCGGTTTGATGTAGTCCAAGGGGTATTCCAAAAAGCCCTAGTCTATCTTTTTTAGTATTTTACCATGTTCTGTTGTATCACTCTCCAAAGTCCACATACCTAAATTGTGGAATCTTAGTGCTGTGGCTTTGGCGTGAGCTTTCACCTCTAAATGCAGAGGAGGCAATCCAATTAGTGCCTCTAATGCGACTGTTGGTGTAGTTCTTAATGCTCCAGTGATGGCCATAGCAGCCATTCTCTGTATGCTACTAAGTTCTTTCCTAGCTGTAACGAGTGCTGTTCTGGTCCACCAGATTAGGGCACCGTACAATATCATAGGTTTAATTAAAAACACAAGTAGTGAAGTACAACCAATACATAACTCTTGGTTTAAGACCCCATGTCTTTCCCAAGGCTCTACTGCAAGTCCACAATGTGGTCATTGCTTTTTTGATTCTTGACTCAACATGTGATTTCCATTTTAGCTTACTATCCAAGATAATACCTAAGTATTTTACTTCCGATTTTAAGCTAATTTCTTGTCCATTTAGAATAAGGGTGTCAAAACTGTCTAGTCCTATTCTCCTTCTAGTGAACATAACAACCTCTGCTTTATTTGGATTAACAGGTAGACCGTACTTACTACACCATATCTGTATAGTATTAAGTCTCTGTTATGCTAAGTCTATAATAGTGTCTGGGAATTTACCCACCACTGCTATAATTAAGTCATTCGCATAGGCTTGTGTATAAAAATATTTATTTAACTCTCCAATAAGCGAGTCCAATACTAGACACCATAGCAAGGGGGATAGAACCCCGCCTCGTGGGCATCCCCGTTTAACACTTTTGATTACTTTGGTCTCATTGAGCTGTCCCAAAATGGAGCGTTTCTTAAGCATGTATTCTATCCACTTAATAATAAGTGGTTCTATTCCATGCTATTGTGCAGATTCACATATAGCATCGAAGGGAGTATTGTCAAAAGCCCCTTCGATGTCCAGGAATATACCTACTGCATATATTTTATTCTCTACAGCTTTCCCTATCTTAGTGGTTAAGCAGTGTAAAGCTGTATCAGTAGATTTCCCCGTTTGATACGCATGTTGGTTTTCATGTAAAGGGTTCTCTTTAAGAGGCACCTCCTTGATATACCTATCAATAAGTTTCTCCATAATGTTGTATTTAAATAAAGAAACAATCCTTTTGTTCTAACTTATAGTTATAATAGTTTAATAATAACGCAAAAGTAATTAATAAAGATATAATCAGACAAAGTAAAACATACAAAATAATGATACATTTAAAACAGGATAAATAAATACTACACAAAAAGAAAACTTAATGTTACAAACGTACCACACGAAAAGAGATTACGTTCGGTACTCCCAAGGTCTTCTCTCTCTCCTTTTCAATTCATTCCATTTCGACTTATATACTAAAATATTTTGTTTTTCTTTTTATAAAATTCATATAGTAATAATTTTCAAAAATGTTTATAAATATTTACTTCTTGGTCTAGTAACAATAATTCGGGGAATTACAATTAATCTAAACATTACAAAAGTGTTCTACTTCTAGGTTTACAAATAATAGACTGTATTATATTTTGTAATAATAGATCAAGAAATTCATAGTTAAACCAAACATTACAAAAATGCTTTGTTTTCAGTTTTACAAAATAATGACCTATATTACAATAGTCATATAAAGAAATGAAGTAAGACTTATTTTGCTTCATAATAGTTAGTCCGGTTAGGTTTGGATATAAACACCACTCTAACCTTTCACCAGCTTTTTGGTTGATAACCATAGGCAAGGCATGCCCTAAATATTTTGCAGAGATGGGGGACGATTATCACTAACCCTTCTTGCAGAAGTGCAGGAAAAATTTCGTCACAGCCTACAGCTTTAAAACTGCCAAAGGCTTTTATTGCCCATCTTATTCCACTTGGGGTTATCACTTTCCTGGTTAGTCTCCAATCAGCACAGGTCACACGTTTGTCCTGTGCATCATGTTCCTGTTCTCTGTTGTTAATTGAAGAGTCAGGAAAATGTGTGTTCATAAAATGTGATAATGTTTCATTATCATTATTGGTGAACATTCCGTCTGGCAGTAGTATTGCCTCGACAGTTTTGTTTGGTCCATTCCTTAGTGATCGCAGAAGTCTAGTTGCTATAGGGAGTTGTTGTATATCCCCACAGAACTTCTTCCAGCTTTCTCTTTTGGACTTTTTCAATGCAGATTTGTAGTTCCTTTGGGCGTCCNCCAATGCAGATTTGTAGTTCTTTTGGGCGTCCTTATAGGATTCCCAGTGTTTTTCCAAACCTGATTTCATTGCTTTATTTAATAGCTTACGTGAACTATTTCTTAATTTAGACAGGTTAGCATTCCACCAAGCTACACCCTGTCCTGTACCTTTCCTTTCTATTAAAGGACAGTTTTCTTTGTAAGCCGAGACAATGGAGTCCTGTAGCATATTTACAGCCCTTTCAGTACTTTGTCTCGACCCCAATCTAAACTGTAGGTTATTCAGGTCACGAGAGAGATCTGCCCTGTAGTTGTCCCAGTTTGTTCTTTTCGGGTTCCTATAGTACTCCGTCTCAACTTTGTTAATTTCCAAAGTGAATCGTAAGTGCCTATGATCAGAAAGAGAAGGTTCGGAGGACACTTTCCACCCTTTTANCATCAGAAAGAGAAGGTTCGGAGGTCACTTTTCACCCTTTTATCTTTTGAAGTAACCCTTTTGAGCAAACTGTCAGATCAATGACTTCCTGCCTGTTCCTGATAATAAAATTAGGTTCACTACCTCTATTCAGTATACTTAGGTCTGTAGTCAGCAATAGATCCATTATAACCTCTCCTCTTTGGTTGATGTTACTGCTCCCCCAAATAGTGTGGTGTGCATTAGCATCCATACCTAGGATTAGTTCTAATTTTTCATTTTTGCAATAATTAAAGAGCATAGTTAGGTCCCTACCTGGGTCTGTGACCTCATATGGTAGGTATCCTGAAGCTACTATAATATTTTTACCATCATTTAGTGTTACTTTAATAATAGTCAAGTCTGCACTTGATAAATTAAGTATCAAGCTGGCTTTAACTTTATTATTAACCAAAATGCAAGTTCTTAGTTTATCTGCTTGTTTATGAAACAGTTTAAAATTCCTTAGATTTAGCCCCTTAATCTGGTCACCATTTATCCATGGTTCCTGAATAAGTGCTATTTGTAAGGGTGTTGTATGCCTCTCAGTTAGGGTCCTTAGTAATACACTACTGACCCCTTTACTGTGATGCAGGTTTATTTGCGTGAATTGAATTCTATTGTAAGCCATTCAGAAAAACTGATGTTGACGCTTGAGAAATCACGCTGTACTGGGTGTGATACAGGTGTCTGAAACAGTCCCTGTGTCACACAGCCCTCCCCGTAGGTGGTGTCCCCCCTCCGTCACCAGGTGGCGACCGTACCTTAGGTTCGCTCTCCACATTTCCTTTTGGTTCCGTGGAGAGGTTCCCCTCAGCTGTGGCCGTTATTGAGGGTGGCGGTTTCCTGGGTCCCTTTCCCTTACATAACACAATTCCTCGCTTCCCTTTCGAGGCAAGAGTGAAGTGTGTCCGTTTGTTTCTTACCTGTGCCTTACCTCAGCCTTCCTTTTCCCAGATTTTTTCTCATCCATCGGGGTTTGTGGCGGCTTTGCAACATAGTCTGTGTAGCAAACTCTGCCCATTCCAAAATATGGACTGCGCTTCAGTTCCTCCAGTTTGACCATGCTCTTTTCGTCCACACTTAGGAACAAACTTTCCAGATCGCCGTGTTCAGCCCTGGGTTTTGTTTTGCCAAAATTTTCAAGATCTTTTTGGACTCTTTTGGCAGCCCTGGTATATGAGTGACCATCAGTTTGTACTTGATCGGGTTGTAGGCTTCCAATTGGAGTTCTGCACCGTCCCAAGGTTTTATCAGGTTGACATGATCAGTGAGCCACTTAAGAGAGCTCTCTTGGGCTGCACTGATCACAAGTCTTCCATCAGAGAGTCTGGTGTCTTCAAACCTTGGTACGTCGATTCCATCAGTACCCGACAGTATCAAGTCTCCAACAAAAGACTCAATGAGTAGCCCCTGCTCTGTGGTCAACTTGTTAGTGGGGTAGCCTGCGAGGACCAGAGCCACTTTTTTATCATCGGTTACCACGTCCCTGTAGGTCGGTACCCAATGAGTTTTCTTACATGGAGGTTCTTGACCCTTGTCCTCAGATTTTTGAGCTTCGGTTCCCTTTGACTTTTTCAAGTCATCGGTTCCCTTGTCTCCCTCCTTTGATAGGTTCTTCTGTCCCTCCATGATTGCTCGGCTCCTCTTCAGCTTGCGCCTCTGACTGCCGCTCAGTTTCTCAGGTCTAAGTTTTAGACCCTCGATTTTGTCAGCTACTGCTCCCAGTTGATCTTGCGATTCCTGGTCTACATTTGCTGACGTTGCTATCTCTTTGCTAGTAGACGGTTCACCAAGTGTCCCATTGTTCGCATTGAGACCTTCAAGTTCGGCGATTCTTCTGCGAAGAGTCGCCAATTCACGATCTTGTTCCGACAGGTTGTCCGTAGGTTCCCTGATCGTCACAAGTTCGTTTTTTTGTGGTTTTTCTATGTTTTTGTCCATATAGTTCCCACGGGTAATCGAGAAATAAAGGTCCGTCACAGCAGAGCTCGATACTGTGATAAGGCTGTATACTCTATGGTGCGCCAGGTGCCATAGAGGATCCCAATGATCACTTTACTTTTCGGCTAACTACCCTGTGACAAGTTAGCAACCCTTTCACTTAGTATGGCTGGGTTAGGGGGCCTATTCGCTGTTAGCAAGCAGGTATGCTCAGGCCTACCGGTCCCAACTAACCAAAGTCATGACCGGCTATGAGCAGTGGTACGTGTTGCCACCCCCACTGAAATAACTAGGGTTCGCGGGGTTGTTAGGCTCGTAATCCTTGCGGATTCCCCTGCGGGAAACACATGTACTAAATATCACATATATATAAATAAAGCAAAAAAAAATCATCTAAAGAATGTTTCCCTTTTAGGGTAATGAAAATAACTATTTATCAACACATGTTTCAAACCAGTCCCCTACAATTCATTAACTACGCCGACGGCAGGGTTTTTATCACAATTAACCAATCACAAATAATTATCCAACATCTTAGGAATTTCAATAGAGATCACTGGCTTATTTCATCCGGCGTATAAAAAGCCATTTTTTCTTGTAAAAGGAGACGACTACGACTGTTCTCTCCTCTCTCGTGGCTCTGCTCTCGTTCTCTCAATATTCTCTTACATGGAATCTGCGTCAGTATAAGTAAATATTTTTTCCCTGTGACTTAGTTTTTTTTTTATATATCATCCTAAGTGGTGACATTGTCTTAAATGATTTATTAATATTTTACCCAGGAACAAGTTTTTATTTATTTTTTATTATCACCTAATGTTCTCACGACAAATAAATATAATCTCTATTTTTTATATAAAGGTTTTAAATATTATTGTGGCCTTCATTTCTGGACAGCCTTAAATGTGCCAAAAAGAGTGAAGAAGTATAATTTTATTTATACAAGCATAATAGCCTTATACATTATCGTATATTCATAATAAAGCTTATTGTGCCTTACAGTTATGAACAACCTTAAATGTGCCGAACTAAATGAAGAAGCATAATTTGTGATTAGAATTAATTAGTTTTAGTAGTAGTACTTTATGCCTGTGTACCCGCCAGCCCTAAGGGACATTACCTCTCGGTAAAGTGTAGGAAGTTGAGGTACAGAATAGTACTAAACTTATAAGAAGAGTATTTTTGAAGTGCGCTATATCCGTTGACAAGCCAGTTCTAGAGCTAGTAGTCCGGGTAGAGTTCATCATAAAATATATAGTTCGTAAGATAGGCGTATGTACCCGCCAGTCATAAAGGACTATGCCAAATTACCTCTCGGTAAAGTGTAGGCAGTTGACGTAAAGGATAGTAAAAGGTGTATTGAAATAATATTTAAAATATATTAACGAGGTTAAGTGTGTCCGCGCCAGCCAAGGCTTTACGCAGAGAAACACTGGGCCACCACAGTCTTGTTAATTATATTTTGAATATAGATAGACATATTCTTATAATTATATTTTGACAAGTTCAGAGTAAATTTGAAGAATATAGATATCGACTATAGGGAATTCATCGAAAATATTATTAGTAAAAACATAGTATAAAAAAAAGGTAGCACAGTAGGTTCGAGGCATAGATGGGACAAGTATAGATAATATCTGACAGTGATTAAAATCACTATCATAAGAAACGCATCGATGCAAATCTGTAGATAGTGTTTCATATAGAGAAATTGGTGGATTATTCCAAAAGCAACATCAACTCTTATTTCTTTAATTATATCCTGATTAGTAGTTCTTTGATTTTAAAATATAATATATGAATAAATACTAATTATAATTATTAAATTTAGTATGAAATTGATATTCAATAATTTAATATTGTAATTTAAACGGAGAAATTATAAAAATAATAAAGAAGTTATATTTTGCTTTATTTTTACGTGTATAAAAATTTAAAGGGCTTGATACAATAATTTTCAATAAAAACTGTTTGTTACTATAAATAAATGCACTGGACTACAAGGAAAATTTAATAATATAACACATAAAATCGAGAATTTTTTCACGGAAATCGTATATTTTTCTTTATCTTTAATGTTCGTTTTCACTATGAAGACAATTCCAGAGGTCAAATTTTTTTTTTTCAAAATAATCTATATTACATAAGCTTTAATTTAATATATATATAAAAGTGTCAGTCTTTCCGGAACATTTTCAAAAGTTATGTTGAAAAAGTTAATTTTTTGTAAAAAAGTTACCATTTTGAAACCCTTCCTGTAGGCTGTTAAAGGGTCAAATGTTCACAAAAATATATAAAATGATAGGTAAATATTTAAGGTATCTATATAAAAAAAAATTATATTGATTCGGTCATTTTTAAAAAAGTTATGGCTATTTTAAGTAAAAAAAATTGAAAAAAGATCGAAAATTAGCGATTTTTAAATTTGTAATTTTATGGTGGATTTCCCCCGTTTACGAGGAACAAGGGATTTTTTCAAATTTTGAGGGTAATGTCTTCAACTAGATACGATTTGTGATCTTTTGACATATTTTTCATCAAAATCGGTTCAGCGAGAGCTGAGATTGAGCGTATACAGACACAAAAAAAAAAACACATCATAGTAAAATTAATACCTTCTCAGATTCGCATCGAAGCTAATATAAAAGGAATTGAAATGTAGTTTTAAAAACAATCTCTAAATATTCAGCTACTGCCTTGAATTTCTACCCCTTCAGACGTTTTCTGTAATAGATGTATAACATTAGTAACTCACTCGGGTGTACTATTCTACGATATTAAAATAAACGAGGAAATACTTAGTGTTTAAGTAATAACTAATGTCTTTACATTATTATTGTTGAAAATTATTTTTTCATACGCTTTAAATAAATCTAAAGATGTCTTAACAACTGTATGTTCCCTGATAGCTTTATTATATACTTCAATAATGCTGCTGCTGTTTTGTTTGACGATTAAAAATTTATGTTTTAACTATGCTATCGAAGGAGTTTTAGAACAAGAAGAGGACAAAATCACAAAGCCATTAGAATTTTTCTCAAAAAAAAATCAAGTACTACCCAACAAAAATACAGCACTCATGATAGCCTACAAAAAATTTAGGAAACCAACTTCTTAATAAAATGAAATTTTAAAATTTAGCAAGTCAATACAGACAGATCAATTAAATAAAGATTAAATTTAATATATTCATTGTAAATGGTAATATCAATTAAAGTATACGAAAATTTTTACTCCAACCGTATCTATGATCATATTGATAACCTTATGCAATAGTGATTTAAGTGTACCGCGCAGCCGTATTCATAAACAGGAATGATTGTTATTAGTTCCTGATATTACCCAAACTCCCTGCCTGTGAATCATTTTTTATATCTACAACAAAAAGCTTATGATATATAGCATTAATTCATTAAGAAAATAGTTTTAATTTTTTTTTTTATTATTAAATCATTGTTATGAAATGCTCAAAATAAATTTATCGTTCAATTTTAATTTTAATGTTTAAAAAAATATTGTACCACGTTAGTGTTTCATAGTACTTTTATATATGATAAATATTTTTAAAAATTAAAAAATCTTGTTTAATTTTCCATGAATTTTCATAATTTAAATTGCATTATTTGATGATATAACGTTCTTTACTAGCACTTCATTCCATCAAAATTTATACTGTCACTGATGTCTCTATGGTAAATTTTTATTTTTCAAGCAAAATTTATAATTTTAACAAAGTAACAATCATTAAATCATCAAATAACTATTTTACCTATAATTTTAAAATTAATTGTTTTAAACATATTTGTAAGTATAATTAAAATTATATTAATACTTTACTTATATTTAGAAGCTTTTCTTATTTATAGAATAATTGTATTGTTATATAGTATTATTTTTTATTTTTACTCAACATTTGTTCAAAAATAAGCTTAAGTTCAAACATTTCAATTTTTTAATTACATGGAGGTTAATTAATAACAGAATAATTAATTAGAATTCGACACAATATAAATGCCCAAAAGATAACAATTTTAATTAAATAAAATTAATAGTCAAAATTATAATTTCCTTAAAATAAAATTTGATGTTGCATACTACTTACACTAATATTGAATTTTTATAATTTATTCTATATTTTATGCATTATGCAAAATGCATAACACCATTGAATTTTTTTAATTAATTATCTGAATAGAAGATTAAACTGTCAATAGATGCTTCTTACATAATTATTAATTGATTATAAATCTGGTGTCTACCATGTATATATTATATTATCACCAAATTTTATATTTAAGAAGTCATCACCCTCGCATTCATTCATTTTTAAATTTTTTTTAATTAATTGTACATATCAATACATATTTATTTTTTACTTTGAGTATAGAAAACAAATCACATTTGTTTTCTAATATTAAATTTTATTGGATAAAAATAAATTCTAAGGTAAATACTATTATATGAAAACTTCTTTGTGCTTCTTAGTATTTTTTTGTTTTGAAAATATATATATTTTTTAATTTTATTAGTTTAAAATAATTTAATAAATAAAAACCTGAAACTGAGTAAAATAAAGCTATTTAAAAAGGTAAAAATAATTAAAAGTGAGATATTATCAATTACTCATCTATTTCTTCTTTTATTGCAATCCATTTATTTTTAGTCTTTTTGATTAGTTCTTAATTACTTTTTGTAATGCCATCTATTAATGGTTTCTTACTACTTCTATGTGTTAAAATGTCAAAGTAGTGTGCCAATTGTATTAGCACATTCCATTACATTAGTAATGACCTCAATTACAATAAAAAGGGTTTTCTGGACTACTTTTTTAATCACTTATAATTTTTATTTAATTATATTGTATGTTGCAGATGTTTTAGTCAAATTATTTAGTGCTATTACAGAAAAAAATTAATATTTTTTAAAGCATGAACAATAGAAGTTATTCAGTTTTAACTAAAGAATTAAATAGTAATCATTTACATCACACTATGGACCATAATAGTGAGCGATTATTAAAAAAATTAAATCCGTATCCAGTTCTTGATACAGATCCTACTTTAGAAAATGTAAATTATACTATTTCATCAACAAAACCATCTAATCATTTAGGTAAATATATTTTTAATTGTAATTTATTAATTAATATGAGTTTTTTAGTCCATTCAATAATTATTAAATTCTTTTATCATTTTTAATTAAGACTCTGATATTCATAAAGAGCATTATCAATATCATAGTGAGATGCAAAAATGGGAAGTAAATGAAAATGGTGTTACTCAAGGTGAATTTATTAACAATGATCAGTATTATATGCCAAGCAATAAGGTAAATTTACATGTTCGACAACCTCCTGTTCATCGACATCGTAAGGCAAGTCATTTGTTGAATTACTTTTTATATTTTATAATTTCAAGAAATAAATATTTATTACACTCACAAAGAAACATTTAATTGCCTTATTATGCAGGATTATTCATTAAGAATAAGATACCCATTTTCTTCAAAACTATTCATAAATTTTCATTTTTGTAAAGGAAAATATTGTTTTATTAAAAAAACTACAATAATATGTAGTTAAATCTTTTTTTTTTTCATTTTGAAAGGATGAAAAACCTTAACTTTTGTTTACTTTAGTGAGAACTCTTATTTTTAATTTAATGGTACAATAAATTGAAATTTTTTTATCTGATCAATTATTTGCTTTTTAAAATTGATTGAAGTTTTGTATTGAAAATATGAATTCATCATTAATTTGGCTCTCATAGTATTGGAGGTTACAATTATCTGTTTCAATGGACCATCAATTATTATCAACATTTATTTTTGCTATCGTAAGTGATAGTTATAATAACAAGACATCGTAAAGGCAAACCTTATCAATAGACCACCATGCACATGATTCACACATCCATATAAGTTGATAACGTGATGTATGGCTGAGGGAAACATTATACTATGTCAGTGTTTTATCCTTAATGAGTCATTCTTTATACGGGGTGTTCAATAAGTAAGGAAACAGGTAAATTTTTACAAATAATAAACAATAGAAACCCATTTCCTTATTTACTGAACACCGTATATACACATTGGTACACAATGTTTTGACAAATTTAATAATTTTTGGTCCAGCAAATTTTTCATTACTTTTTTTTTTTATAATTTATGCATTCTTAGATTGCTTTAAAATCATATATTTATTATTTGTTTTTAATAGTAAAAAAAATTTTATTTTTAAATTATTTCAAAATTTCAAAATAGCTTTTCTTACAAAAAAGTTGTTGGTTTGATAACAAAAGATAAATACTTATTGAGTTACAAGCTATTTAATACATAGAGTAGTTTTTAGGGATAAATTTTGATAGTTAAATTATAACCTATAAGTATTTTTATAATATTAGATGGCTTAAATAAAATTTTGACTGATAGATAACCAGTTTTAAAGTTTTACTTTTAGAGCAATTATAGTTTTAGCCAAGGTAAAAAGCAAAGTAATGTTTTACGATACTCTATTACTATTGAAATATACAAATAAGAATACTATTATTTTGTACACCACTCTTATCTGTATATTAAAATTAATCTATAAACTCAAAGAAAAATATTACATAACTGGTTAACTTCCAATCAAAATTTCTTTTATATTTTACTTCAATGGTTTAAAAATAATTATAGACTCATTTAACTTTCAAAAAGTACCCCTAAAAACTATTTTTAGAAATATGTTTTTTTACAATCAGTTTGATATTTGTTTTTTTTTTTTAAATACAGTTTTTAAAATTAATGTTTTTCTTGTAGTCTTACAAAGATTGGGATAATATACTTCAATATATTATAGTAATAACAAATTAAAAAATAACTATTAATTAGTTTCCATACCAAGCCCATAAATATTAAAGGCTTAGCAGTATCATCAAGTGATTTAAATACCAATGTGCTTTTTCCATTTTAATATGGAAGCCATTGGCAGCTCTATTTTTTGGTGGTAATCGTTTTCTCAGTTTAAAAATAGTTATTAAGTTTGAATTTTTTCATAGAATTGGCAGATATACAGTTTAATTTTTGGTACTTAGATATTTCAGCTCTGCCACACAAATATATATATATATATATATATGTATATATTGGCATATATTAAATGTTGCAATTATGTGATCAATTGGTAATTTTCAATCTCGTCTTGTTTACATAAATTACATTTTTTATACCTTATAATTTGTATTTTAATATTTCAAAATTTAAATTAATTTTTTTCTTTTTTAGGTTTTGCCAACTGTTCCACCTAAATCCTTAGTTTCTATCAATACTAATCAAAAAAATTCCTCACATTCATCTACTAATAGTACTCATCAAAAAGTTCAAATCGCTAAAGATAATTTGACTAACCAAAATTCCAAAATTACCATTTCTGATTTTAGAGAATCATCTCTAGAGATAAATGATACTCTAAGGCAATTGAAAAATGTATCTAAAAATGTTTATGACAATCCTAATCATTTACAAGAATCTGTTATAACGACAAATGACAATATCAAAATGTCCAATAGATATGTGATAAGTAATCATTTAAGTTCAAGTACTTTTGAAAATAATGAGATTAATAATATATCAATTAAAAAAGAACTATTAAAACCACTAGACAATGTAACTTTCAATTCACCGTATAAGGCAGGAAAAGATATTTCATCTGTTAATGGTACACATTCAGTATGGTAAGTTTTTTGCATTCACTATATTTCATAGTGGTCTTTTTTTATTTTTATTTTTTCCTTAAAAAAAAATTCGATTTTTAAGTCACTTAGTATATTTTATGTTCTAAAGAATTGAAACTATTTGTTTGAAAAACAAATTCTCTGTTCATCTTATATACAGCACGACAAAATTTGAATCATGAAATGTTAATAAAAAAAAATTTTATTGTTTCTGATAGATTTTTTTTTGACATTGTTTCTGAATAACCCTTAGTTTTTCTCTACCATTAATATTTTAGCCACAATTTGAGTATTTGTAAAATTACAGTTTTTCAAATAAAGTTTTAATTAAAAAAAAAAAAAATGTCATTACCCCTTAATTATATTTATAATATCATGATGATAATTTGTGCAAATTTTGAAATCATTCCGTAAGGTTTCATCTTTGATATGGACTCTTAAAGTTTCTAATAAATGTTACTATATCACTAAAATAAAGTTTTTTATCAATACTTGGTTTATTATTTTGCAGTAACTTGGTGCATGATTTTTATGAACCATCTTTAGAACTTAAGCCTCATAGTAAGTAATGAATCTTAATATATTTTAATGTAATAAAAACTACATAAATACCTTGATTTTTATGTTAGATACTAAACTGAAAGTAACACAATCTTTAAATAGTGAAATAAATGTTACAAAAGAGGATATGCCAAAATTGGATTTTGATCATTTGTTTTCAGGTATAAAAAATTACCATAAGTAATGACAATTCCTGATACCTAACATTTTAAAATGACTATAATTCCAGATGTTCAAAATAACAGACTTAAAGAAAATGTTCAACTACATTCAGCTTTAAGACTTAGTTTGTTTTCAAATATTCCTCCCTATATAAAATTTTCTTCACACGATGTAAAAGGTATTTATAATTGTTATAACAATATTAAATGTTATCAATTTGTATAACATAAAAAAGAGAAAGAAAATCATCTCTTTTTATTATACAGGTGAATCATTTCCATTGCCTTTGCAAAAAATACTTAAGTGGAAATTAAGTTCAATTACTCCAATTGTAGTTAGGCGAACAGTTCAAAATAGTGGTTTTAAATTAGTGAAAAGTGAGCATAGTTTAAATAATAATATTAATAATAACAATACAAACCAATCAATTCCATTAATATCATCCTTACAAAATCACTATGAAATTACACCTCCTATTGTTGATGTATATTGTGGTAAAACTTCTCCTACTGAACTAAATATGCTACCTCAATCTCGTGAGTCCATAACTCTTATTCCTATTCATTTACGCATAAATTATCCTTATAAAATATAGCTTACAATTTGAAACTTAAAAACCAAATTTTAGAATCTAATGATTGGGTCGGGACATGGGGAAAACATATGAAATCTTTGTGTTTCAAAACTCTTCGTGATCAGCAAAAACTTAATCATTTCCCTGGAACATTTCAAATTGGACGTAAAGACAAATTATGGAAAAATTTGCAAAGGCTTATGTTGCAATTTAGTAAAGATGAATTTAACTTTATACCGACATCATATATTTTACCTCAAGAAACCAAATTATTACGACAAGTATGGGAAAAAAATGATGAAGACAAATGGATAGTTAAACCAGTATGTTCTACAATTATTATTATTATTTTAAATAAAAATAGTATTAATAATTTTTTATAGCCAGCATCTGCTCGAGGAACTGGTATTCGTGTAATATCAAAATGGAATCAAATACCAAAAAAAATACCTTTAGTAGTACAAAAATATATAGATAATCCATATTTGATTAATGATACTAAGTTTGATTTAAGACTATATATATTAATAACTTCAATTAATCCACTTCGTATTTATTTATATGATAATGGATTAGTGCGATTTGCCTCAGGTATTTTTTTAACTCATGATTTTTAATATTTTTATGCTTATTTTTGTAAAATAATAATGTAATTTTTATCTATTAATTTCTTTAGTTAAATATTCATCTGATCTCAACACAATATCTGACCGATATATGCACTTGACAAACTACAGTATTAACAGATTGAGTAGCCAATATACTCAAAATGAAGATGCTAACGCATGTCAAGGCCATAAATGGTAATAAAAATTTTATGTTATGCAAAATATAAACTTTTTTTAGTTAGGTCTAAGAGGTTAGAATCTTACTTAATATACATTAAATTCTTGTTAATCTTCAAACTTGATAATTTTATATTCTTTCAGATATCCAATAAAACCTCTATATAAGATAAAAATAAAACTAAGTAAACATTCTATGTCAAAATACTTTGTTTATATATTTTAAACAAAAAACTTTAATTCCACTAAAACTCAAAAAAATTAGTAATTAGTATCTTCTTAATTGAGGAGGCTTTATGAATTAAGTATAGTAAAAGTAATATTTGAAATTTTCATGGGACTGATCATTTAAATTAATGGTTTTTACTTAAATTTGACCAAACTATTAATGAATATTTTATACATGCATAATAAACAAATGTAATATACCAATAAACCAACTTCATTGATGATTTCTAAATATGAATTTATCTATGATTGCCTTAATTTTTTAAGGACTTTAAGATCACTATGGACATATTTAGAAAAAGAACGAAAAATAGATATTCAAAATTTATGGGAAAGTTTAGCTGATTTAGTTGTAAAAACTGTTATCAGTGGAGAATCACCAATGAGTCAAATGTGTCGCTCAAACTTAAGTAATAGATATAACTCCTATGAGTTATTTGGTATTGATGTACTTTTTGATGAATTTCTTAAACCTTGGATTTTAGAAGTAAATATATTAAACATTTTCATTGAATAAATTTGTATATATTTTTTATGTTTTAGGTTAATATATCTCCTTCTTTACACACATCTTCACCCCTTGACTTAGCTGTTAAAGGACCTTTAGTGAAAGATTTAATGAACATGGTTGGTTATCACATACCAAATAAGATGTCCCCTACTACTCATGTAAGTATTCGAAGCATTCTTTTTCTAACCTATTGTATTTATAAAAATTGTATGGTATAAATTTTGCTATACAAAAATATTATTTAAATATTTACAAAGTATAAATCTTTTTACTTAAAACATTAATATATAGCAACATATAATTACAATTATAGAATGCTTTGCTCAAGATGTTAGGCATTAAATCACCATTATGTTATGACAAAAGATTATACACATTCAATTTATCAGATAATGAAAAAAAAAAGCAAGAGTATTACAGCAATATCAAGTCAAGAGAAAATGTAATGTATTAATTATTATAACAATTTTCAGTGGTCATTATATTGCTTATATTTGTATACATATTTTAAACATACATTAAACAAAGAAAGAAAATGTTCAATTTTAACTTTTTTTTTTTTCTTAAATATAAGTTTGAAAAATAATACTACCTTAATAGACCATATATATATATATTTATTTATTTAATTTTAACAAATTTATAAAGGATTTTGCTATCACTTTTAATCTTAAAATCTGTTTTACAAAATAACTACTTTAATAGTATTTTGAATATTATTTTTTTTTTAATTTTATCTTTTTTATAAATGAAAAATATACTTATATAGTACAATGTTATTTTGTTGCAAACGATGATCATTTTTTAAAATTAATATAATCTAAAATATTCAATCAATCAAAAGTTTAAAGGTTTATCAAAATATTGTGGGGTGCCCATTAAAAATATGATAATTATTTATTATTTCTTTAAATTTAGTGTTAAATTAATGAATATTCTTGTAGTATATAGATAGCATATTAAATGATTTGCTGCCAGATGACATTAGACATCTTATTGAATATGAAGACGAACTGACCCAAATTGGATCGTATGTTAATTTAAAAATTAATTTTAGCCTAAAATGTTGAAAAAATATTTTCCAATTTATACTTGTACTTTTTAGATTTCAGAAAGTATTTCCTACTACCACTTCTTATAAATATCACCAATATTTTGATAGTGCTAGGTACTATAATATGTTATTTGATGCTTGGGAAAACAAGTATTATAACAACAGAAAAGAAGGTAATAAAAAAATAAAAAATACTTTAAGAAACTAATATTTTATTTTTTAATTTTTAGGTGTTGCTTTATTAGAAAAGTTTTGTCAAAAAAAAGTTCATTTGGAAGTACCAGATAAAGAAGAAAAGCAATTTAAGGTATTTATAAAAAAAACTCTAAATTATTTTAAATTCTCTATAATTTGTCATAATTCTTGTTTAAATGTGTTAAATTTAATCACTTCTCTCAACTAATAATTACTAAAACAAAAATGAACATATTTTTCATATAATATTTGCTAAAAAAAAAGGAATATTTTAACTTAAATAAATTTAATGATATGAAAATTCAGTAATTTAAAATAATTTTAACTTTCATACTTTCAATAAATGATTTTTAAATAAATTAAGATAATTCAGATTTTGTCTTCTCTAAAATTTTAAAATTAATAAAAATAATGAAAAGTCTACACAAAACATCATTATGAAATTTAGAAAGGCTTAAAAAAATTTTAGTACTGTACAATGCAACATATCCATTTTATCAATTATTTCTTCTTACAAATGAAAATAATTGTTATTAATAACTAAACATTTTCTTAATATTTTATTATTTTAAACTCATTAAGGAAAGAATTATGTGGTGTGTCAGAAATGTTTATTTCATCTTTAAAACTTTAAAATTTTGTAAGTGGGTATTTACTTTTATGGAGTTTAAACAGCATGAGTTGGAAGTGTTATTATATGTGATATATTCATGTATGAATGTTATATATTGTAGTGTAGTATTAATATTCATAGGTCAATTAGAAGAAATATGATGATTAATCATATTAAGTTGATTAAATTTAAATATACTATTTTTTAATTTTAATATGGAAAATTATTCTTAATATTTGAAAATGAGTAATTATTTTTGTGTTGTAAAAGTTTAATAACTCAGTATTATGTTGTCTGTTATTCCTATTGGATTATTTTAGATCTTAGAAATATTTTAAGCCAAAATTTATTTAGTAATAGGTATTATTAAACAAAATTTTTTCAATAACTTTTGTGATTATACCATTTGGTAGTAACACTGAACATTATGAATTATTTTTATTTTTCATAATAAAAAGTAAACATTATTTTAGATATAAATTAATATGAATTTTACGCACTTCTAGTATAAAAATTATATAAAACATTTATATTATTTGGCTGACACAAATCAATATCGTCTAAATTTTGTAAAAGTTTTGATTTTCTTATTTACAAATTATTACCTTAATTAACTCGATTATATCTTGTATCTAATGTTAATGAAATAATAGAAAATTTTTCTATATTTATGAAGTATTAAAAATATCTTTTTGCTGTTATATTGATATTAAAGTATTAATATACAATATTATAGTAAAATAGATTGATAATTTAGTTGTGTTTTATATTTACGATCCTCAAAAATTTAGTATTGACATAAAAATCATACTTGTGTTTAATGATAGAGGTAATTTGCTTAATATGACACATTGGTGTTTTTCGTAATATTAATGATATTTATGAATCTAAAGCTCATTAAGTATATAACTTATAATCTCATATTTTAGTTACAATTAACTTCTATTTGTTTATCAAATAGTATCATAACCTTATCAAAGAATTTTATGACAAAAATTTTTTTTTTTTTTACTCTAGTAGCTTTTTTGTTTAAAATATGAATTCAAAGCGAAAAAATATTTAACATGAATAGCTTTAAAAAATACTAAAAAATCACTTTTACAAATTTATTTTTAATTTGTGTTAAATCACTTGGTATATTGACATTTTTAGTATTTTTTGTGGCTTTTGTATTAAATATTTTTAATATTATTTAATTTTAATTTTAAAGAATATATCTACGAGTGATCATTATAG